AGGGAAGGATGGAGAGAATGTCTCCACCGAGCCTGTCTGCTGCAAGAGAGCAAAATACAGGTCAGCCTGCAGCATCAGCTGTTGCATGCTGCTCAGCTGCTCCGAAGGCTTGTAGATAGATGGGTTTTGAACAGCCTGAAACTTGGGCAGTTTACAAATGGGCGATTTGTTCTTTTGTGTAAAGGTCGTGCTGGACGTGTTTCCCAAGGGTATTGTTACAGGCTTGTACACAAGGACTTCTGGACAGACTTTATTCCAGAGAAGTCAGTACCTGGGATACTGGTAAGACTTCTGGGGAACATTAGGAGGTTTTTTTAGTGTATGTGGTCATAGCAGAGACAATAAAAAGAAGTTTTGCTTTACTTTTCCTGAAGACAGTGTACAATTTTAGTAGTTACTAATAACTGTAACACTGAATAGAACTCGGGAAGTAATTGACAAAGACCATTCCACATGGTTTTCTTCATAAAGAGACGCATTATAGCAGTGAAATGGATGTGGATTAGAAATAAGCAATCTGTTCAAAAGAAAGATATCCTTAGTTACACAAAATGAATTTCAGGTTTTACTAAATTGTAAACTTTAACTTATTTTTCTTATGAAACACTGTGTCACACTTCCCATGGGGGAGGAAAGTAACAATAATGTTGTCTTCCCTTCAGTGTTGTCCATTGGGACCTACAGTCTTAAAAATAAAACAGCTTGATATGGGGAGACCAAAAGACTTACTGGCAACAGCTCTTTCTCCACCCAGCGCAAGTGGCATTGAACGTGCCATACGTCAGTTGAAAGAGGTAGGCATTCTATTAATGGTGTTAAAATCAAAGTATTAAGTGCATGAGAAATTATATTTGTGGACAGTAGCTTGCTTTTATACCCATTATATCTAGTAGAAGCTTTGCTTTCAAAATACTAGGCTTTGAAAATTTATTTAAGAACTTTGATTTTTTTATACTAATTGATGTTGCTTTGAGATAATTGCTTGCTTTTTGTCTTCTTTTCTTACAAACTGGTCTTATATTTACTTCATCAACTTTTACAACTGAATAAATTTTTATTTCTCTAGCTGGGAGCACTTACAACTTGTGCAGAAACAGACGAAGATCCACATGATGGTGAGCTGACTTTCTTAGGGCGAGTATTGGTCCACTTGCCAGTGGATCTGCATCTTGGAAAACTGATAGTCCTTGGGCATGTCTTCGGGTGCTTAGAAGAATGCCTCATTATAGGTAACTGAAAGAACAACATGTGAGAACAACATTTTTGCAAAAACAAGTGATTTGCACGTTTTCATTTTGATTTGTTTTTGTTACAGCTGCAGCACTCTCTTTGCGGAATTTTTTTGCATTACCTTTCAAACAGCGTGTCAATGAATACAGGTATTACCCTAGATGTTTTACAACTCCTGACTACATTTGGGGACAGAGGACTAAGTTGACCACTAAATGTAATGTTTCATGTCATGAGTCTGATTTTCTGTCGAAGTGCCAAGCAGTGCAAAAAAAAAAAAAGCTTTTCCAGGGCAGCTGAGATACTAGTTAGTTCACATAGAAATATATTTTAGTATCACAGAGCTAACTGATCCTTTTGTGAGTGCAAGTCCTGATTCTTCAGCTTTGCCTTTCTGATGTGAACATGTGGCAGTGTCTGTTAAAATGCATTTTTAAAATAGTAATAAAAAAAATTTTTGCTCTGCTGCTCACAGAGGTTTACCTTCAGCAAGGAAATGTGAATAAGAACAAATAATTACAATAAATGTATTGACCTTATTTATTGAAGTCCTGGAAAGTGTTAGTAGTGGAGCATTCTGAGCTGTATAATGCATTCAATATTTGGAAAAAAAAACCAACCCTGTTGATAGTTCTTTTTGTTTGCATTTCTAGGAGCAAACTGTTTTTTGCTGGGAGTAGTAAGAGTGACTGTATTGCAATTGTGAATGCATTCAAGGTAAGTCTTTTTTCTGGTTTATCTTCCAGTGAAATCTGATAGACCAAGATGGAGCTTCTCACCTGTGTAGGATCAGTGCAGCGTTTGTGCTTTGGAGTTAAAAGTTGTGAAAACTTTCACATTACTCCTAGTTACTGAGTGATACTTCTTGAAGGCTGTGTCCTACTGTATAACACTGTTAGTTCTGAGGAGTTCATTTTTACCACTGTGAAGGAGCTGCACAAGTTTGCACCAAAGTAAGGTGGCAAGAAATGGGTAAAAATGGGTTGCAAGGCTCAGTTTCTGGGTATGTTCCCTACTTTTCAGTCTCTTATGGCTTTTGAGGTATTTGTTCTACTAAGCACATGGAAAACAGCACAAAGAGTGGAGAAAGAATGAGAGCATGCTGCTTATGTCAGTCTTCTGTGTGCTAGAAGTAGGAGCAGATTTTGAACAAGATGGGAATCAGAGGCTTAGATTCTCTTGACTGCCTGTGATCCTTTCAATAAAGGAGCTGTTTTACATGGGACGACAGATTCTTTCCAGTCCGTGAAGGTTTACCTGTGTCATTCCAGCTACTATAAAACTGATACCTCATTGCCCCCAACAGAACAAGTGGTGGCTAACCAGTACGCAGAATGAAGCTTCTGGAATTAGTAACTGGAGGTGCTGAAGAAGTTTCTAATGTAGCCAGTCTGCTCTTTGTGTGCTGCTGAGGATCCCACTGCAGCTGTTACAAATCTTGTTATGAGATTGAAGTCTTCTGAGCTGTAATACTGATGCTGTGCCTTCTCATGCTTCTCTTGAAGGTCTGCTTGGTTTATTTTCCTATGTCTTAATAGTTTGTCTACATCTGCGCTGCTTCAAGACTTCTTTCCAAATTGTATCCGAGCCTTTCTAGGAGGCAAAGATAAAAACCCCTGTCATGGGCAGCAAGAAATTTGTATGTGCTGCACACTTATGTCTTCCAAATTACACATACCAAGAACATACAGGCTTTAGTGGTTCAGGAAAGTCTTTAATCACACTGAGTTCTGCTTCCTAATAAACCAGAATTTTTTAGGAGAATACCATTTTGGGGGGCAAGATGTTTTTCATCAACCTTGGAGGTGCTTGAATACTATTGAATTAAAAGATGATTAATTTAAAAAAAATAAATCTCATAAAGCATTTATTAATTTATCTAGACAGGTAAGCTTGTCTCCTGTAATTTGCGCAATTAGCAGTAATTGGGATAGAATTCCAGTAAGGAGTATGTTTTAGGTTTTCCAGAATGTTCCTTATTTGTCCTGCAGAGCAGTCTCATCTTTCACCAGATGATAGTCATGTGGACAGTGTTCCATTTCAGCTCAATAAGAGCAGATGTACACATGAACATTTTTGATGCAAATACTGATAGATACAAAATCACGCTGAGTTGTCCTGGTGTGAACTCATTCCATTCTGCTAGCTACCAAGTTGCACTACAGGTGAGAGCAAGTTACCTCTTTTACCTGTGCTGTTTTGGTGCAGGTCAGCTTATTTATTCACATCGGCTTGCGGTCTTTGTAAATGGTCGTTAGAGTCAACCTAAAGCAGGACCGAGGTGTTTTTTCTCAGGCTGTGAATATTTATGACCCAGTGACTTGCCATCTTTTCCAACGTGGCTGTGGCTTTCCTGCTACTGTACTTTTGTGTAGGCAATCCACTGATGATCAAAGGAAATTCTGGTTTATCGTAAATCCACTTTAGTCAGGGCTGAAAAATGTACAGCTTTTTTGTGACGTTTCTCTCTTTATTGTAATAATCAAAAATAAAATGCCAGAGACACGGTGATATTGGTAGCTCCCTTTTGGCTGAGGGAAGTTTGAGCTGGTAACTTCTGGTACAGAATGAGTTTTGTGTCCTTTCTCCAGGCTTCATAGCTTTGACTTTGTGATATTTCATTCTGTTCAAATGGGATTTTTTGGTACGTTTGGCAGCTCTGGAGCCCAGTGCCATGGACAGAGGTTGATCCCTGCAGCTAAAAGCGGAGCAGGTGCAGCTTAGGAAAAACTTCTGCTGGAGGAATGTACTATTCAAAATCCAATGGTTCACACTGTGGATGATTTGACAGGTTCTGTAATCTTTTGGAGACTCCAGAATCATTAGCCGCAGATTTAATTTATTCCCTTTTGTGTATGTTGGCCTTTTTTCACTTTGGCGAAAGCTGACATTTTTCTGTACTCTAGTGTCAGAATTTTATGAAGCCTACGCAGGCACGTATGCCACTTGTAGCCACTGATCCTAAGTATCAAGCATCATCTTGTTGGGTTAAAAACTGGCTGGATGGCTGGACCCAAAGAGTGGTGGTAAATGGGGCTAAATCCGGCTGGAGGCCGGTCACCAGTGGGGTTCCCCAGGGCTCAGTGCTGGGTCCGGTTCTGTTTAACATCTTTATCAATGACCTGGATGAGGGGATTGAATGTACCCTCAGTAAATTTGCGGACGACACCAAGCTGGGAGGCTGTGTCGATCTACTCGAGGGTAGGGAGGCCCTTCAGAGGGATTTGAACAGACTGAATCGTTGGGCTGAGGCCAATGGCATGAGCTTTAATAAGGCCAAGTGCAGAGTCCTTCACTTGGGGTATAAAAACCCCAACTATAGGCTCGGGGAAGAGTGGCTGGAGAGCTGCCTGGTGCAGAAGGACCTGGGGGTGTTGATTGACTACCGGCTTGATATGAGCCAGCAGTGTGCCCAGGTGGCCAAAAAGGCCAATGGGATACTGGCGTGTATCAAGAACAGTGTGACCAGCAGGAGCAGGGAAGTGATCCTGCCCCTGTACTCGGCACTGGTGAGGCCGCACCTGGAATATTGTGTCCAGTTTTGGGCCCCTCGCTTTAAGAGAGATATTGAGCTCCTGGAGCGGGTCCAGAGAAGGGCGACTAAACTGGTGAAGGGGTTGGAAAAT